TTATTTCTCAATACCTGAAAATTTGATGGCAATCGGATGAAAACTCGAATTTTGCGAATCAATTTCGTGTGTGGCAATTTCATCGTGGACACCCTTTATTTGCCAATATGCTAGTCAAGTAGTGAGCCAATTTCAAATCGAAAGTACTCGATTGTACTCCTCAGAAAAATGCAACGCTCGGCTCATTTCAAACTCCATCCAGCGTGGTTCCATCAAGCCTGATTACAACCAATCGTCCCCAAATTTTGCACAGTTGTTTGGGACCTCAAATGGAACCAAAAAGGGTTTTGCTTGGTGAGGTAAAGTTTGCGTTTTTCCACATAACGGTGACCTACACTCAAAAATATTACTAAAATAAGAAAGATTAAAATGTAATCATTTTATGCAAAACCAATGTTTATACATTGATTCGATTATTTTATTTTATCAAAATTATACTAAGTCCGACTAATGGCGAAGAATTCGATCAGTGTATACCACTGACAGCAAAGCTGTGCAGGAATTAAAAGTGCTGAAGGACGAAAACTGTTTTGGAAAAACTCCATTGTCGTTCCAGCCCTTTCGTCGAGCTTCACACGCTGCAGGATATGTTGACAATCCATAGTTCAGCAAGGAGTAAACAAAGCTTTAGTAAGTATTGAAGAATTGAATCAGTTAAGATTTGAGAAGAATATTTGAATAATAATTTTGTTGTTAGCTTCAAGCAACGTTGGCAAGCAAATGAGCCCAAGTACCACAATCTCCAAAATTCAATTGCACCATGTTTGCAAGCTTAGGACCTTCATGGCACCGAATGAAGATGACCGGTTTTGAAACGGTGAAGAACTGCTGGTAAGGTGAATTTGAACAGTTTTGCTTGCCAAGTGCCAACTCTAAACTAGATCCAAACATTCTCTTTTTCCAGGCCGGTTACAACGCCAAAAAATATGAACCTGAATCCGATCACTCGCTAGCGCCATTCGGTTTGAACCATCACGGTCAATTTCTTCCGCATGTTGGACCCTAGGAGGCTAACTATAAATACACTCCGAACTTGAACGAAACTGGCGCGGATCGATATCAGACCGTTTGAACAGTTTCGGAAGCGTAAGACTACAGTTTTGAAATCACCATAGGCCAAGAGATTGTTTGCCCCGTCGATGGATGTGCAGTGTAGATTTTGCTAGGAGACTCAATCTTATGGAAACGACCAACACGAGGAATCACTGGATAGCAGCTGATCCAAGTTGCCACATCTCTAACAATGCCCACGGAAACCACACAGATAACATTTTGGATACCCACTATGCACTTATTTATCGGTTCAAATTTTCGGCATATCATTATTAATTAATCCAGTTTATGTTATATGATTTATTATGATAAATAATAATTGACAATAAATTTGCTCCTGTAACATTATTATTATGTTTAAAATTAATAACATTGGAAATATCACTGACCAGCACATAAAAATACTATTCATGGAATAAATCCCCTTTATGCATAATTTGAATATTCGCACTTTATACATTTGACTGCATAAAGCATTTTTATACTAAGTCAGTTTTCTCTCCCTTTATACCAATCTATGCGTCGGTCAGGAGAGTTGAGATTTAGTGTAACTTTTAATCTATTTAGATTTGAAAATCTTTTGAGTGTACTCTAATGCATACTTTTTAAGCTTTTTTGAAGCAATTTATTTTTGAGTGTTTATTTCTATGGCTGTCGACAGGTGGTGCTGTACACCCAAACGTTCTTGTCGCGAGTAACACTGCCATCTACGGATGATAAAATGAACGAATGTTGTGTTCCAATTTCGGTACGTTTCATGCGCTACCCGAGTTGTATGGTATACTAAATAATAGCACCACAGAAAACAGACGTCCTAGTTCGGTCAGAAACTTGTGTAAAGGTAAGTGGAAACGTCGCCGTTACGTGGCGCTAGCATCTCCTGATTTCCTCTATAAATTTATCACTTTCGACCAATTTGGCGCTATTATCGATAAATTATCTGTTGAAAATTGCCACTTGGCGCTACCAGCACTTAGTGTCTAGTGTATCTTTCGCAACGCCAAAGGGGTTAAGTGGGGAAGTCGCCGTTAGTGGCGCTTAAGTCGAATAATAATCTTTACACAAGTTTCTAGAGAAATTTTGTTCGAGCCTCAACGTCTTATCTCTACACAAAGTTGGACGTCTGCTCTCTGTGAGGAAACTGTAAAAGCAGGCATAACATTTGATAACGGCACAAAAGCATTTGTAAGCAAACGTTCTAAGGCCCTTTACATGCGAACCAAAGTACGCCCACGCAAACCAATACCACTTTCGGAAAGGTGATACTTGCCCCTATTCGATGATGGAGTTGGTTTGCGTGGGCGTACTTTGGTTCGCATGTAAAGGGTCTTAGAACGTTTGCTTACAAATCAAGAGCAAATTTTCATTATGTCGTAAGTAACATTCGCACCGATCCGAGAAAATAAAGTTTTGTTTTGATGACCGAAAAGTTATTCCTATTTCCAATTAAACACATATAATCTTATAGTGATAGCAATGTTTAACATATTTAGCCGGGTTTTAATCATACAAAGGCAAATCGCTAGCTTTCATGCTAAGAATTACTGGTTTTTGAGTCAAAAGTTATTATACGTCGTTTGGTGGCCCCTATTGTTACTTAAGTCAAAGTGTATTTACCAGGATATTCGGGAGAATTATCAATTACGTCTCCTTACGTGCAGCCCATTCATCATTTTAGGACCACTGAAATCATCTTAGCAACAAACAGTTCGATTTATTCACTTTAATAATGTGAAAGCGAAAGGTTTCTCAGTGCTGTTACTTAAGGCAAACGGCATCTCCATAGAAATCGGGTGACTTAAGTAACATCGAAAACTATTTTGATCGGAAGGTGATTACGTCAAAAAGCAATTCGACTGGTAAATAAATTTAAAAATGGGATGTGATCCTATATTCGGACAGTATATAGTGTAATAGCAGGAGCATCGATTGACACTGATAGCTCGACTTGGTTTACCTTTGTTACATTCGACGTAATGAAAATTTGCTCTTGAAATGCTTTTGTGCCGTTATCAAATGTTATGTCTGAAAGAGCTTAGTTTTTTATTCGAAAATAATGGTTTTGCAGAAACTCGATTGATTTCCATTGTTTGTCTTGTTCGTTTTGAACTGATTAATTTGGATACCCGATTAATAAGTTCAACACAAATTTTAGTTCAGTTTACTCATTAATCGCAAAAAGGGATAACTCGAGTCGCAAAATTCCGTATGGCAGCGCTAGTGTTTCTAATGTATTTTAATTTGAATTCTTGCACATAATTTTTCGAAAAATTTGTTTAAGCTTGGATGTCTATTATCTGTGCTGATATCTCAATAATGTTCCAATTATTGAGCATCACATTCCTCGGTACACATAACAACATTTTCACATGTTCCCCCATCGAGTTCATTTGACTGGCTGCTGTCAAACAGTACAAATGAACCCTCCAATCACCAACACACCTCGCCATTTGCCGACATCAGGCGGACATTTGTGTGCGTGACCGTGCAGCGCTCTATGTAGATGTTCGAAGATACCGCTGATTTCGTACGACGGACGGTGCATCTACAGTATAGTCGCTATATTCATAGTCTGGCGGACAATTCTAGATAGAGCTGGAATTAGGGCGAATCAACTTTTGTAAACAATGACTTCTCTTGTTAATTTTTCGAAAGTCATGGCTCTCCCTGGCAAACCGACGTCACGATCGACTAGGGGAAGAGTTCCCCTACCCGATGGTGCAGTTTTTTGTGTAGGCGTGCCTTTAATGCCTAGAAATCAACGAGAGAAGTCATTGTTTACAAAAGCAGTTACGCCCTAATTCCAGCTCTATCTAGAATTGAGCTGTCAAATAGCGGAACCAATCGAGCAAATCATGACCAGCATCAGAAAAGAGCACATCAGCTGTTGCGAACAAAATTTCGGAAACAGTTTTCTCGTGATTCAAGGCTCACCTACACCAACTAACACCATCTTTAGGTTGTGGAAAGTTTCTCCTATCCGATGATGCTGGTAATTTACCTTCTATCGGCGAGGAAAGAATAATCAACGATTTGTTTATAAAAGTTGATGTACCTTTTCAATTGTTGATCTACAACATATAGAATTGGGTCCGCTTTTTGATAGACCGAAATTCTGTCCGCCAGACTATGAATATAGCGACTATAATCTACAGAGGCAGAGCCTACCTACCCCGATAAATGTACACTCAAAAAAATCCACACGTTTGATCGAAGTGTTTAAACACTTGATTTTTTTAATGCACAATCACATTTACTTTAAGTGTATTTCACCTTGGTTCAAAGTGTTATACACATTAATTTCAAGTGTTCCAATTTTTGAAATGTTGAAAATCTTTCACTATCTATTCGTGTGTATTGCACATTGAATCACACTACTGTTCAAAACAGATGGATTTAAAGTGTTTTGCATTTCAATGCGATGTGAATTGCTTGCTCAGAAAGGTAAACATCGAAAACAAGAGTTGTAACTTTATCCTATCAACCAGCCTCATATATATGAGAACAACCGTGGCACAGTGGGATCGAACGAAGACTCCGGCAACTGCACACCCCAACAGTCTATGATCGAATCCCAAATCAGACCCATTAAAAAGATATGTGTAAGCTCTTGGCCTCTGGCAGTTTTGTTTATATATTTGTCGATTAATTTTTAGGGTCGGCAAAGTAGAAGTCGATAAAGTAGAATATTGTAGAATATTGAACTATGATGTGCAAAGCTATTGATATCACCACATAAGGCACATATAATCCAAGTGTGTCACAATTCAAATCCATAGTGTTCAGGCATGGTTCATAGCATAAGATTCACTCATGAAATGGATGTGTTTCACAATAAGCGCAAAATTAAGTGTGACACACATGATGATGACGTGTAGAATTTTTTGAGTGTAGGATACAACAGCAATAACAATAATTTCGCAACCATCCGGACGGTTTCGACACGGGAGAGCCGCGGAGAGCGATTCATTCTGTGTTTTCATTGTCACGACGACGGGCGTGCTGTGTGGTGTGGTGACTGACTAAAGCAAATCGTCGCTTACTTTGCGCGTGTGGCATTTTTTTTTCTCGGACGACCACGGGGGAAAATCAAATTCTGTCAAGCAGCCAAAAACGAAAACGAGGAAAAATTGCGTTCGAGATTCGGTCGGTTCGAGAAGGGAAAATTCGATATCCGTACCGTGCAAGAGGAGTGCAGTGTTCAGTTTGTGTGTTGAGGAGCAATCGAAGAAGCAGGGAAAACCGGAGAAATAGTCAACTTTCAATCAGAAAAATAAGGTGGTGCAGCAAATTCGGCGAATGGTTCTGAATTTCGCAATCTTTGGCAGAGTGCAAACATTACCTAATTTCAGCAGATAGTGCGGGGTGTGCGGGTGGATAAAGCGTATTGGGAATAGAGTGCCGTGGGAAAAAAATTGAATCGCAAAAAATACAAACACATTTCCCCGAAGTGAATGTCATCGGTAGCAGCAGTAGCATAAAGCAGACAGTGCCAAGTGGTGTTGAAGAAGTTTCCAAAGCAACGCAGAAAAATTGCCCTTAGTAGGCAAATTGTGTCTGACAGGTGAAGCCTATTTTGTTTCATTATTTTCCTTTTGTCGGTGTGTGGTTTGCAAAACTTATTACGGAATAAAATACTGAACAGGGGAAAATAGACACCTAGTAGGCTGGGAATTGCTGCAGCAGCCTACCAGGTGCTGCCGTGTTGCTATTGGAACTATGAAATTGATTTTCCCTTTCCCTCGGCTGCTCGGCGAGGAGGCCTGGAAAAGAACATCGGTACCGTTAAGGTGTCCAGCTTGCAGGGAATGGCTATGGTGGTGATGATGATGACGATGACGATGACGATGGAATGCAACGTAGATGGATGCAGATTGTGTCTGGAATCATTGTCAGACTGAACGGGATTATTCAAACCGGTTGACGTGGGTTTCTTAGTGATTATTGAATGTGTGTTAGACCAAGGTCACGCAACAAACTGCATTCATAATGGAAGTTTACATGTGAACATCCAGTTTTGGATTACGTATTTAGAAGATGGAATAAGTCACATCTGTATGAGCTAGGAACTCATCTGCGATGGCTTCAGTATAGACGAATCAAAAGTGCTATGTCAATTAGAAATAAGTTTTAAACACAAAACAGGTAGGGATTCTGCCTTTAGTTTTCCAATCGCTCAACACACGTTAATCTGAATCCACTCTAATAAAGCTGTTTGTCCCCGGTATATGAGTTGATGGGTCGATAGGTAGAGCACCGTCGGTGGGTAGAGTCCAGGTGTGGGAGCACACATGTTATACTATTTTTTGGATTAACATATTTGCAACGGTACATTTCAGAATCAAAATAGACGCAGGGTCTCAATTTTGTTCGTACACAAACCAATCTGACCATTGTATTAGGTCCTAAGCAACATTGATATATTCTCTTCATCAGTTAATAACTTGGGTACATAACCGTTTCTTGTCGTGTTTGTCACATTTGAAGCTACATAATAGCTTCTTTCATGGATCTGTGTGCTGAAAACAGCTGGGAATGTCTTAACATGGTCGTGAGGCTGCGAATAGAAAGTCGACGAAGAGAATCTGCTAATGTTATTATTCCAACGAATAAACTAAACACGAAACACGGTCTTTTAGCAAATGAGCTTAAGCTGGAATTATTTATTTTTATTAGTTTAGATATTCGGTTAATATTGCGTAGTGTAGACTTACAATTCAGTGTAGGCTTCGTATTTTAGGTTAGGCTCGCTAACAATAGAATTCAATATCGTACTATGGGCTGTAAGTACATAACTTTTATAAATTTTACATTTTCATCTGCATATTGTTTTTCTTTAAGTTTTACTCACAATTATACGTCAATTTAATTAATCAAATTTTAGGTATTTGGTACTGCGATTTCTAGCGCGATTAGTTCGCACCTATGATAAATTATAATTAAATTGTTTATGTAAGAATATATAGTAATTTTTAGTTACGTTCTTACGTTATCCAGCTGAAATCACTTTGACGTACGGAAATAGCCTCAGCTTACTGTAGTAATACGATTACGTATATAGTGTTAGGAATATTAATAAATTCACTGTATTATTTAATTTCATCTGCCTTCCACGCACTATCTATCACGCATTTAATAGGGCTTTGTTCTGTATTTCCTGAGTTTCTGATGTTCGCCCGTCATCACCGTTTGGAATTAATTCTGCAGAGTTGGTACTATGATACTAACCAGCGTTGCCAGCTTGTACGGCAACATTCCCGCCCCCGTAACACTGCGTATCCGGAGCAGTTTTACTTGGATCGCTGACGTCTAACACGGCCAACTTGCTGACTGGTCTTCTTAAGAATCCCGTGCTCGTCTGAACTGTAGCTCGTCGTACCCGACCATCGGGCCCCGGCTGTACTTCCATTATTCGTCCCCGTATCCAGTTGTTCCGTTTGCTACTATCCGCAATGAGCACTAGGTCACCTACTTCAGATCTCTTGGTATCGCTGAACCATTTCGTACGCCTACAAATCGTTGGCAGATACTCCTTCAACCAACGACGCCAGAAAATGTCTAGCTGATGTTGGATCTGCTTCCAGCTGTTTAGGACTGCCTCCCGCTGATCCGTGGGGTTCGCAACTGGTTGCTTGACCCCACTGGAGCTTCCAAGCAGAAAATGATTCGGCGTTAGGGCCTCCTGCTCTTCTGACTCCAAAGGCAGATAAGTCAACGGTCTAGAATTGACGATACTTTCCGCTTCGACTAGTAATGTCTGAAACCCTTCGTCGTTAAGCTTTCTTCCGGTGTCGATACTTTCTATGGCGGTTTTTATAGAACGAACCAGCCTCTCCCAAGCTCCACCCATATGCGGAGCTGAGGGTGGGTTGAAGAACCATTTGGTATTGGCATTGGTAAATGTTTCCGCCAGACCGTTGCCGATCTGTTTTCGAAGCTCCCTCTCAGCACCTTGGAAGTTGGTTCCATTGTCACTATATACTTCCACGGGGGCCCCTCGACGCCCAACGAATCGGCTAAAGCACGTGATGCAGCTCTCGGAACTCAAACTATGCGCGACTTCGAGATGAACTCCGCGAGTGGTGAGACACGTAAACAGTGCCACCCAACGCTTTGCGTGACTGCGCCCAACCTTCACTAACATCGGACCGAAATAGTTCACTCCAACGTATGAGAAAGGGCGTTCAAAAGATGCTAATCTGGCGGTTGGCAGGGGTGCCATTTTTGGTGTGGACGGCTGTGATTTATAGATCTTACACTTTTGACAAATTCGTGACGTCTTCCGTACTGCTGCTCGAAGGTGAGGAATGTAGAAATTTTGTCTTACCTCATTCACCACCGTTTCGGGATTCGCATGATGGTTTTTACGATGATAGTAATCCAGAAGCAGAGTTGTCACTCGGTGTAACTTCGGCAAGATTATCGGAAACTTCACGTTGAACCCTGTGTTTGCTACCGCTCCAATTCGCCCATCCTGCCTTAGGACTCCACACTCATCGATGTACGGAGACAGTTTATAAATTGGTGATGATTTGTCAACATTTTTCTTATCCGCCTTCAGTTGGGCGATCTCGTCCGGATAGGATTCTTCCTGACAGCGACGCCAAAGAATGTTTTCCGCTCTTTGAATTTCGTCGGAGTTCAACGGTGTTACGTCTCGCTGTTCTTTAGTTCTACGAGCATTTTGAATGAACCGTAGTATGTAGCCTATTGTTCGGAGAAGACGCATCCATAGGGAAAATCGTTCAAACTTCACTAGAGGCTCCAACGTCAAGACTCCGTGCACGAAACATGGTCGAAGCTCCTCCTCTGTACAGACTTTCTGCTTGAAATTCTGTTGTGGCCACTGCTGCTCCGGTTGTTGTAGAAACTCTGGGCCGCGGAACCATTTTCCTTCCGACGATAAGCAAGGTCCGTGCCCCCACTTCGTCGCCTCGTCGGCGCTGTTCATTTTGGTAGGCACCCATCTCCACTCGCTGCTTTCCGATAGCGTGAGAATCTCACCGATGCGGCACGCGACATATTGTCGGTATCTTCGGGCGTCCGACCGAATCCAGGCTAAGACGGTGCTAGAATCCGACCAAAAAACCCTTTTATTTATGGTTCGAGTGTGGCTGTCTTTGACGAAGGACGCAAGTCGAGCCCCAAGGACGGCCGCTTGAAGTTCCAGGCGAGGTATCGATAACGTTTTGAGAGGTGCCACTTTCGTCTTCGCCGAAATTAGGTTGCAGATGACGGTCCCGTCGACAAGAATAAAACGGAAATAAGTTGCTGCACTGTATGCTTCTTCGCTGGCATCTACAAATACGTGTAGCTCTACGGAGTGCAATGAAGTGGAAGCAGTTTGACCAATGTAACAACGAGGAATGCGAATACCATCCACCTGATTTAAGATTCCAATCCATTTTAGCCAACGGTTGAATGCTTCCTCTCCAACTTCCTCGTCCCAGTCTGATCCCGAGCGCCATATCGATTGAATCAAAATCTTTCCATGCACTGTGTACACGGCCAACAATCCGAGGGGGTCAAATAATGACATGACACACCGTAGAACTTGGCGCTTGGTTGGTCGTCTGCCTTCGTCGATGATTGCAGCAATATCATTGCGCACTTGAGTTGAGAATCCCAATTCATCCTCTATTGGGAACCATAGCATACCGAGAACTCTTTCCACCCCGTCGCTTTTATCCAAGTTCAGGTCCTTCACTACCGGAAACACCGTTTCGCCTAGATGGTTGAGTACATCCTGGGAATTGGACCGCCAACGACGGATTTCGAAACCACCCTTTCCATGGATCATTCTCACCTCAGCAGCAACTCGTTGAGCATCCTCGATGTGGTCGAAGCTATCCAGATAGTCGTCCACATAGTGGCACTTGATTATCGCCTCCGCTGCCCTGGGATAGTCGACAGCAAATTCTTCAGCGTTCCGGTTCTTGATGTACTGCGCACTACACGGTGAGCAGCTGGAGCCAAAGGTGGCTACGTCCATGAAATACACATCGGGTTTTTTATTAGAATCCTTCCGCATCAGAAAGCTTTGAGCGGGGCGATCTGCACGTCGTATACGGAACTGGTGAAACATTTCACGTATGTCTCCGCTTACCCCCACGGGCTTCTCTCGAAAACGGCAAAGAACCCCTGGAAGACAGGTCAGCAGATCTGGTCCTTTTAGGAGAACCATGTTGAGAGAGATGCCGTCCACTTTGGCCGCAGCATCCCAAATCAATCGCACTTTGCCAGGTTTTTTGGGATTGGTCACAACGCCGAGTGGTAAATACCATGTTCTGCGTGGGTCAGCATTTGCCAGATCCTCCTCAGTAGCAAGATGAGCATAACCTTTCGCTTGGTAGTCCTCAATCTGTTGGAGGACGTTCTCCTTTAGTGCAGGTTCACGAGACATTCTCCGTTCTAAGCACTCCAATCGACGAAGAGCCATGTGGTAGCTTTCTGGAAATTCGAAGTGATCATATCTCCAGAGGAGCCCAGTTTCAAACCGACCGTCTACACGAACCGTGGTGTCGACCAGAATCTTTTTCGCTCTCGTGTCTTCTACTGATTCCA